GAGCGTTTATTGGTTTTCGGCCTAATCGACGGGTACAGACATGGCTGAATGGATCCGGGCCAAATAGACAGATCCAGACAGGGCTATTGGATCTTGGCCTAATAAAAGGGTGCGGAAAGGGCTAAATTCTTTAACCATCTCTTTCTCAAACACCAAACCAGGCCCTAATCCTTTGGGGGCCATGTAATGAAGTTCAAGCCCATGCTAAGCCTTCGTCTCATTTGCCTAAGTTTAGTCACGTGTCTTCATCGGATAAACCTAAGCGGAGGATGATAGATGTCTGTCGCCATGGTTCTCGGTGGACTCGGACTAAAAAGCAGAAATGGGTTGCACGACCTCATGCCTCACATTCAGGTTTGATCTCTGTTCATTCTCCAAGTTCTCTTTCTACTTCTACTCCTCCTTCGGGTGGAGTGGTGAGAACTGGGGGTGATGTGGAGGATGTAACGACTCAACAGAGGGGTTTTCTTGGGTCTTCAGGTTCATGGTGTGATGGGTCAGTGTTGGATGCCTCAAAAGCCACAACTAGGAGTGTAGGTTGTTTCAATGGGGTGACAGTTTGCGTTGGGAAAGACCTACACTTCAAACTGACTAATGACTCAGTTGTAGCTGCTTAAAGAGCTTCGGCTCTTTGCTGCGTTTGAAGGGCTGAACTGTCAACCAGAAAATACAGAACCTAATCGAGGCACAAAAGAAGTCAAAGCCAGAAAATAGAATGGGAACAGGAAGTGAAGAATCTGATTTCTTGTGTTAATTATGACGGGAAGGATGGGACGACTAAAGAAAGGGGAAGGACCAGAAGTGGTAAATGGGGAGGAGGAGGGGAGTTGATCGTTTTTGGTTCTTCATGAAGCTACGACTTATAACGTGGAATGTTCGTGGTCTAAATGATCCGGACAAAAGAAGAGTAGTCAAGGTAGCTTTGAGGAAGTGGAGTGCCTATGTCGTATGATACAGGAAACTAAGATGGCTTCTATCACTGTTGAGATTGTCAGGAGTCTTTGGGGTGGAAGGTTTGTGGAATGGGAAGTGTTAAACGCCTCTGGCACTTCGGGTGGTATTCTTATCATGTGGGATTGAAGGTGGTTATCAAGTATGAACAGTTGGAAGGGTATCTTCTCTGTGTCATGTCTGTTTCAGATGGAGGAAGACAGTTTCAGATGGGTGTTTTTAGGTGTTTATGGGCCTGTTATTGATAGTGACAGATCAGTCTTGTGGGAAGAGCTTTGCTACGTTAAGGGGGGATTGTGGTCATTTCCTTGGTGCTTAGGCGGGGATTTTAATTTTGTTAGGTCCCCGTTTGAGAGGTCCATAGGGGGCAGGTGGTCCTCTAAAATGACCATGTTTTCGGAATTCATTGATAGTCATTTTCTCATTGACCTACCATTGGAAGGAGCAGCCTTTACTTTGTCTAATGGTAGGGAACCGGTTACTTTTTCACGGTTGGATAGATTTCTGATTTCTGGGGCGCGGGAAGAGCATTTCCCGAATGTTTCTCAGGTTGTTGTGGTTAGAGTGACATCTGATCATGTGCCTTTAGTTTTTGATTGTGGTGTTATGAGTTCTAGACGCACACCTTTCCGTTTTGAAAATATGTGGCTGAGATCTGAGGATTTCCAATGGAAAGTTCAGTCTTAGTGGGAGGAAGCGAGTTTTATAGGCTCTGCTAGCTATGTGTTAGCTAGAAAGTTTCAGTTTCTTAAAACCGAGTTAAAGAGGTGGAATAAAGAAGTGTTTGGGAATCTTTAATGGAAGAAGAATAGCGTTCTTGCTGATATTGCTGAACTTGATCGTCTTGATGAGGTGGGGAAGGATGGGGAGTCATTACGCTTTAAACGAGCCTCTTGTCAGCTGAATTTTGCTAAGATAGCTGTTATGGAGGAGATTTCGTGGCGCCAGAAGTCTCGGGCATTGTGGTTAAAAGAAGGGGATCGTAATACAAAATTCTTCCATAGATTTGCCAACGCTCACAGAAGATGTAATCACATCGGGCGTATCCATGTTAATGGTTTTGAGCTATGGAGAGAGGATGAGGTGTGCGGGGGAATTGTTTCTTTTTATCAGCAGCTTTACACTCAGACCTTTTAACTCTATTTCTGTGTTGAATAGTGATAGGATTGAGGCTCTATTCACGGAGGAGGAAGTGTTTAAGGCACTTTCTAGCTGTAATGGGGACAAAGCTCCAGGACCAGATGGGTTTACTCTGTGGTTTCTTAAGGAGAGTTGGGAGGTGGTGCAAACTGAGGTGATGGGCACCTTTCAGGATTTTTTTTCTCATGGCACATTTGAGAAATCATTGAACGCATCTTTTATTACTCTCACTCCCAAGAAGGGCGGTGCCTCTGATATTAAGGACTTTCGGCCAATTAGCTTAATAGGATGTTTGTATAAGCTTATTGCCAAGGTTCTTGTCAGGATGAGTAATGTTTTGGATGGTCTGATTTTAGAATCACAGAATGCTTTTGTTGGTGGACAACAGATTTTGGATTCTGTTCTTATCGCAGGGGAATGTGTTGACTCTAGATTGAAAAGTGGGGTTCCTGGCGTTTTATGTAAGCTTGATATTGAGAAAGCCAATGATCACGTTAATTGGAAGTTTGTTCTGTATCTACTTCGGAGGATGGGGTTTGGAGATAGGTGGATAAAATGGAATGAAACTTGTATCTCGTCCGTTATGTTCTCTGTGCTCGTGAATGGTTCTCCTGCGGTGAATGGTTCTCCTGTGGGTTTTTTTGCTAGCTCGCGTAGTCTGAGACAAGGAGACCCATTATCGTCTTTTCTTTTCCTTATTGGCATGGAGGGATTGAGCAGATTAATGAGAAAAGCGGAAGATTTGGGTTACATTAGGGGGTTCAGAGTTGTCAGAGATTTTGAACATCAGATGCAGATCTCCCATTTGTTGTTCGCGGATGACACTTTGGTTTTTTGTGATGTCGAAGTCTCTCAACTCAGATATCTAAGGTGCATTCTTGCTTGTTTCCAAGCAGTTTCTGGACTAAAGATTAATGTTGAAAAGAGTGTGCTTGTTCTAGTGGGGGATGTTCCAGATATTTCCTCTTTAGCTGTTGTTCTTGGTTGTGGAGTGGGCGCTTTTCCTCTTCCTTACTTAGGATTGCCTTTGGGAGTTTCCTTTACGCGAGTTGGGAATTGGGACCCAGTGATTAATAGATATGAGAAGAGATTATCAGGATGGAAAAAACAGTATCTTTCTAAGAGAGGGCGCCGAGGGGGGGGGGGGGGGGGGGGGTGTTGGAAAGTCACTCTCATTAAGAGTACTCTCTCATCCCTTCTTACCTACTTTTTATCTTTGTTTCAAATTCCATGCTCTGTTGCTGAAAGGATTGAGAAAATTCAGAGGGATTTTCGATGGGGTGGAAGGGGAGAGGAGTTTAAGTATCATCTCGTTAATTGGGAACAAGTCTGCTAACTGTTGAAATTAGGCGGGTTAGGCATTCGAAAGCTAGTCCCTTTTAATCGAGCTCTCTTGGGAAAGTGGTTATGGAGATTTGGAAAGGAACGCCATCGTCAGCGGAGAAGAGTTGTCTCGTGTCGCTTTGGAGAGGAGAGTGGGGGTTGGTCCTCTCTCCTAGTCACTATTACGGGAGGCGTTGGTGTGTGGAAATTCATTCGGGGCTGTGATGTTTTCTCCTCACACATTAGATTCAAAGTTCGTGATGGTAGACATGTCCGTTTTTGGGAGGACCTATGGTGTGGAGATCAACTGCTGTCTCACTCCTTTCCTAGACTTTACAATATTGCAGACAATAAGCATGTCTCCGTAATTGATTGTTATCAACTCGATAACAGTGGAGTTACGTGGGATGTGCATTTAGGCGCCCCTTTCAGGACTGGAAAATGGAAGAAGCTTGTGTTTTTTTGGATACGTTGTCTAGACAGAAGGATGTTGGCAGAGGGTGCGATGATATATTATGGGTTTCTTTAGCTCATGGTTGGTATGGTGTCTGATCCATGTTCTTGTTTTTGTCCAACTTCATTGGTCACGATTTCCCATGAAAGTCTGGTTGGTGTACTAAAGCTCATCTTAGAATCGCATTCTTCGTTTGGACTGCCACATGGGAAAGATTTTGACATTGGATAACTTGAGAAAGAGAGTTAACATCATCGTTAATTGGTGTTGTTTATGTAAAGCAAATGGTGAATCCGTGGATCATATTCTTTTGCACTGTCTTGTGGCGTATGATTGTTGGAGTATTATCACTTCTCTTGTCCTTTCATTCTGGTTCAAGGTGTGGGAGGTTGGAAAGATAAACCACAGACGATGTTTATCATTTGGTAGTTATTCATTGAAGTTTGTATCCAGATGGCATTGAATTGCATCTTTTGGCATTCATTTTGTTAGACGCATTTTTGTTTTAGGCTTCTTTTAATTTGAAAATGAACATATGCCACGTAATATTTCATTCAGGTTTAAAAAAATACTACACATTGGCCAAAAAAAAAACAAAACAGAGAGAGAGAGAAGAAAAGAAAAATAGAGCGGTATTACGTTTAGGATTCATAGTAGTTTGTCACTGCGACTTACAGATTTCTGGATGTACTTTGAATTTGGTACTTTGCTACTGTGCTTACTGTAGCATTTTTACTCATGAATTGTTTTTCAGAAATGAAATCATTAACTGAAAAAGAATAAATGAGTCCCTTAATAGATATCCAGTTCCTAAATGACCTATCTTAAACAAATACCAGAAAAAAATAATACAGAAAAAACTGTTTGAAATGCGATGGAAGTCATGTCTGTTCCTGGATTAAGCACTCTACTGGTAGTTTCACTTGACTTGGAATGCTGATAGTTTCACTTAATTGTGCTTTGATTCAATACTGAAATTAAGCTTTAGGAATATTTATGGTTTATCTGAACTGATCTATCAGACATTAATAATATCACGAAGCGTGCAGTTGGTACTGTTAACATATTCAGCACGTGTAAATACAATGATGTCCTTGCTTAGATAATTTAAATTGTGTTTTTCCTATCCCAGGATTGATGAAGAGCAGACACCAGAGGATGCTGAAGACGGTCCACCAGAATTGCTCTTCATTCACGGTGGTCACACGAGTAAAATTTCAGATTTCTCGTGGAACCCATGTGAAGATTGGGTTATTGCTAGTGTAGCTGAAGATAACATTCTCCAAATCTGGCAGATGGCGGAGAACATCTACCACGATGAAGATGATCTACCCGGAGATGAACCTACCAAGGGTTCGTAATCAAAGTACCCTATTTAAACAGTGCTGAAGGAACTGAAAAAGATCATCATCTGTTAAAGGCGACATCTAGGGTTTTCGATATTTTCTTTCTTTAATTGTAATTTTCATTTTCTTTTTGCATTCCTTCATCTTTGTGTCCATGAGATGTGTTCTAATATGTTGTTTCAACTGCAGTGTTATTAGTTATGCAGTCATTGTTTGTAAAACTTAGCTTAGAATTTATAGGAGGATGGTCAGAAACTGGGCTTCAGGCTTGAAGCCCTCTCAAGTCAATCCTACCTTTTACTTGCCCTTAATGCAGGTTGCTAGTGTTAAACCATTAATCTTTTTCTTAAAACAGATTTTATAAACTTATTGAATAAAATTGTCTCTGAATTGCCTGTCAAAAATTCAAACCGAATTGTCCATATTATATGGTTAATCCATATCTAATATCCGTATCGAATGAACTAATTTCTATCAGATTTGGGTAAAACCATATCCATCTTTTAACATCAATATACAGATCCAATTCGGATTCAAGATGGATGTTCTAAAAAAAATCCATATTCGAGATGGTGTCAAATATCAAAGGACATCTAATCTAATGTTATAATCTCTTCTTCTTTATTTCTCAAAGAAGAGGGGAGGGGTTTGAGTCGGGTTGTAAGCGAAATGAGTATGAATTTATTTCTTGTCAATAAAATATATATGTATATACACACACACATGTTATTATACCCTATTTGCAACACACAATCACATATTATTATGTCCATAGGTAAAGATTGTCAACAATGTGGCTGCTCTTTTGTACAATTTTTTTCATTTATTCCTTGATATCAGTTTTTATTTATTTATTTATTATTATTGTTTTATTTATTTATTTATTTTTGTTGTTAGATTGTGTGTGTGTGTGTGTATATATATATATATATACACACATATGGTATTATACCCTATTTGCAATACACAATCACATATTATTATGTCCATAGTTAGGTAAAGATTGTCAACAATGCGGCTGCTCTTTTGTACAATTTTTTTCATTTATTCCTTGATATCAGTTTTTATTTATTTATTTATTATTATTATTTTATTTATTTATTTATTTTTGTTGTTAGATTGAATGGCTAAGGATATGTTACTTATTTAAAAGATTGTCGACAATGTGGCTGCTCATTTGTACATTTTTTTTTAAATGTCTTCCTTGATACCAGTTTTTATTTATTTTGTTAGATTGAAAGGCAAAGGATATGTTCCATATATATTATGGCAGTAATGTTAGAAGTTAGTGGTTAGAGGGGAGGGGATGGTACAAGCTTTGAACACGGACTCCCGAACAAAGGTAACAACCCAACTGCTCAGACAACACAACATTTTGTGTTAAATGACGTAACGTGATTTAATGAAAGTTTAATCCGACATTTTTATCTAAAAACAAAAAAAATAAAAATAAAAAGAAAAGATAGTGTCATCTGACATGACCATAGAGGAGGAAAATAGTAAGAGAGGAACCAGAATCAATTAGAAAATATTAGCAGAAGATACTAAATCAAATTAAATTACATAAAATAAATTTTGCATGTGAATGTTAACTAATTAAATTGTTAAGCATGTTGGACACAAAATAAATTAAATTAAATGTCACATGAGATGTTAACTAATTATATTGGTTACGCATGTTGGAAGCAAAATAAATTAAACTAAATGTCACATGCGATGTTAACTCATTATACATGTTAAGCATCTTAGAAAGGTCAAGTTACATTGAACACGCCAAAGGTTTGACACCATAAAATCGATCTCTATCATCAACAGTTCTCTTTCATGATATTTATACATTTCCACCTTTAATTTTAAATTTATTCTTTCCGTTGACAAGTTAACTTTTAAGTTGAATATTTATTTCAACGATTTTTATCGTCGACTAGTGTTGATTATTAATGAAAGGAAAAATATGTTACCAATGTTTAAATGTCAAAAGAGTTATGTGTCTTTTTCAAGATATATATATATATATATATATATATATATATATGTTTTGACAATGTTTAAAATTATTCACTTTAAACTTTGAATACCTACAACTACTTCCTAACCACATAAATCAAGTGGAATTGGACATCTACAACGTCCAACCTCCAACCACATGTATCAAATTAGTATGATGTAGAAGTTTAATTTCAAGAGCATTAAATTTCTGCATGGAAATTAGTAGAGAAGTAACCAAAGGATCATGAGAATCCACTAAGAGTAGATCCGCCCTTTTAGACAATGTCTTGTTGTAACAGGTTTCGATGTTCTACCTTCCAAGATACAACATCAAAAATCCTCTACAAACGTACACTCGTAATGCAGAGAAAGTTGAACAGCTTCAATTTGGCCCTCTGGTGAATGGAATTGCAAGATAAGAACAATGGCTAAACACTCCGAACAAATAGTAGTCAAAACAATATCGGGTAGAACACTCAAATAAGTATTTGGAATTAACACTCTAGCCAAAATAGTATTTGACAATGGACAGAACGTGAACAACAATATCTGGTTGAACTTGAACGAGGAAAAGAATACCAGATGAACAGAAAGTATTATGGATTATATTTTTCTGAAGAGTGAAAGACTCGTGTCTTGTATGTTAAAACCCCAAAGCTCACCCATGTTTATAGCCAAAAATCATAACGACCATATGCAAAATATCAGGAACTGAACGTGATATTGTGAATATTTGTAGACCCAGTGTAACGCATAAATATCCTCAACGTAATGGATATTTGGGAGACTTGGTCTGTTTAACGTATATGATGTAATTTTGAAATACTCAACTCTTATTAAGGACACTAAATATACAACAATCCTCACATATTTCAAAATACATTAAAAAATAAATAAATAAATAAACTATGGAGGGTAACCAAAGAAGAAAACATGGGAGTAACCATGGAAATTACCAGAGAAGTAACCAAGGGACCATGAGAATCCAATGCATCGAAACTATTATGTTCCAACCCTAAGGGAAGTAGGCCATCATTTACACAAAAAAAAAAAATTCTACGACGACTGTGGTGAAAATATGTTTTTATGAACCAAAATTTCTAATTGTAAATCATACAACTAACCATGCACATTGTTATCTCTATATCGAAGTTGTTCATAACAGGTTGGCATAAATAGGCCTTATGCCCTACTTGGATTTTCACGAGTGCTTTAGAGAGCCTGGCTAAGCTCTCATAGGAGGCGGTCCCACCTCCACACTCATATAGGTCAATCCATCAAGTGTGTACCGCAACTAGACACACCACTCATAAGGGATATGTAATTCATTAAGAATTTTAATTCAACCTTTTACGCTACAGTTTTGCACTATTTATATCATAGGGAGGGATTCTAAAAAATAAAATTGATAGTGCACTCTGTTTGATCAACCTTTAACTTATTTTTACGTTCATATAGGTTGGGCTACCATCACTGTTGACCTTCGTTATAGACATAAGTTCTATCCCCCTTTATTATCACTCATTATAACCGAGTGATTTTGTCAAAGAATCAAGCAAATTCATCACTGACCATACAAAATCTATAGATATCACCCTAGTCTCAAGCAACTGCCTCACAATATTATGTATTAGGCGTACATGCATGTTTTCCCATTATATATATTTTACTTTTTACTCTGGCTATTGCAGCCTGGCAATCACAATGCGTATATATGGACGGAGACAGTCTCATCCATATAAGGATATTTGCTAAGAGCTTTCTAAGCCGCTCAGCCTCAAACCTAGCCTTTTCTAAGGCTATGAACTCGAATTCCGTAGTCGACCGAGCTATGCATATTTGTTTAGAAGATTTCCAAGACACTGCACACCCAACGAGAGTAAATACATATACATTCGTGGATTTCATCTCATTTGAATCAGAGATCCATAGTCATGAGTACCTCTCAAATATTTAAATACTCGGGTTAAAGTTGTCCACTGATCCTTATTACGATTCTGAGTGTACTCACTCAATCTACAATCTGCATATGCAATATCAGGTCTAGAAAAGTTCATTAAATACATCAAGCTACCAATAATTTGAGCAAACTCATATCGTGATTGTGACGGCCCTGGTTTTTCAAGCTAGTGCGTCCTGTGATGAACCGTAATTTGATCCGATAACGGATCCGAAATGCGGAAGCGAAAACAGAAAACAAGACTCTAAGAAGTCAAAGTGACCTTCCATGAGGTCGTGGAACTCAATGAGAACTAATGCGGAAGCAAAAGACCAAAAATATGACAAATAAGTCCCCAGGGGCAAAATAGTTATTTCTGAAAACTATGGACTCGGGTGCCACCGAGCACACCGCTGGAAGGACAACGAAAAACTAATTAACATGGACTCAAGAATCACTTGATTCAGAGTCCGGATGAAGAAGATATGAAACTCCAAAGTTTCATAAAATCAAACTTTTGGGTTTGAAATTAATGCGGCAAAGGTACTTTATAAGGGGTAAAATGGTCTTTTTAGATATAATTTGATACAACCATGTATACCGTCATATAGACCAGCAAAAATTAATAAACTTAGCCTCAAAAATCACTTAATTTGGAGTCCGGATGATGAAGATATGAAGCTTCAAAGTTTCAAAAAAATCAACTTATTTTCTGGGTAAGAAATTTGGGTAGGAATAGTGTTTTTACAGCAAACAACATTTGATTTTTTTCTCGTAACTGAGGCTAAAAACGGACCCTTAAACGAGTTTTTCTAGAAAAACACGAAGAAGAAACCCCCCTTAAAATCACGTTTTCTACCCGGCATCGCAAAAGGAAGGGAGAAAAACACTCTGTAAGGTCCCTAAAATGCCCCTAGATCAGCCTAGGTCAAGAGGGACCCAAAAAATTGCTACATGAAATTGCCTCAGGATCAGTCCACAATTGAGAGCAAAAACGGGCTATCAAATGAATTTTTCTGGAAAAACACAAAAAAGAAACCCCTCCCAAAATCGAGTTTAAAAAAAAACTCAACGTAGAATGCCCAAAATGCCCCTCCATGAAATCTGGTCATGAGGGTTATAAAGCTGCTAAATGTAAAACTGGAAGCTGAACTTTGCAATGGATTTCCGGTATCAAAACGACATTTTCTGGAAAAACACGAAGAAGAAAGCTCCTCTAAAATCACATTTTCTAAGCGACCATGTTGAAAGAAGAAAATAAAACTGATGTGAAAAGTCTAGAAAGCCCCCAGATCAGATTATGTAACAAAGTTTCAAAAGCCCATAGGAGGCTCATTTCACCAAAGAAGAAGGTTTGCCGGGAAACAACCATGCACACAAACATAACTTACCTATTAGGATGTGCTACAATGGTTCATGGCTTAAAATTACCACCGATGCAAAATCCGATCCCCCAACGGGCAAAAAGGCAAAAAT